TATCAGAAAGATACACAGTTGGTTACAGAATCGTACTGAGGGAGTGCTAATCAATGACTCCTTCTCAAGATGGGAGAAGGCAGCATGGGATAACACAAGGTTCAATCCTGGGTCCAGGGCTCTTCAACAGTTTTATTAATGACTTGGATGAGAGGGTGCAAAGAATGCTTGTCAGATATTCAGGTGGCCCCAAATTGGGTGGAATAGCTAATACCCTGGAAGACAAGAAACAAAATTGAAAAATATCTTGATAGCCTTGAGCATTGGTTTGAAAAGAACAGAAAGGAATTTAATAGGGATAAGTGCAAAGTTCTAGACAAGGTGGTGGAGGGAGACAAATACACCATTACAAGATGGGGAATAATTGGTTCAGTAAGTGTACGAGCAAGAAGGATCTTGGAATTTTGTACATCACAAGCTGTATGAGCCAACAGTGTGTAAAAGGCAAATGCCATTTTATGCTGCATTAAAAGAAGTACAGTCTCCATAACACGTGAAATGCTAATTTCCTTCTATTTGGCACTGGTTAGGACTCATTGTTAATCCTGCATCAATTTCTGAACACCGCACTTCAAGAAGGATGCTGACAAATTGGAACAAGTTCAGAAGACAACAAGGATGATCAGGGAACTGGAAACCAAGCCCTATGAGGAAATACTGAAAGAACTGGGCGTGTTTAGCCTTGAGAAAAGAAAACTGAGGGGGTATATGATAACACTTTTCAGATACTTTAAAGATAGTAATACAGAAAAGAGGCAGGATCTGTTCTCTGTCATCACAGAATTCAGGATAGATAATAACGGGCTCAAGTTACAGGAAGTCAGATTTCAGTTGAATATCAGGAAAATTTTCCTAACAGTTAGAGGATTGTGACAATGGAACCAATTACCTTGGCAGGTGGTGAGCATTCAAACCCTGGAGGTATTCAAGAAACAATTAGACAACCATGGAGCAGGGGGTTGGATTCAATGGCCTTATATGCCCCTTCCAACTCCATTATTCTGTGATTCTGTGATTGTTATACAGTGTTTTCAGCCCAGACTTTATCACTCCTAGCCATGCTCCTGAGCTACAACTCTGTGCTATCTCTAATAGCTCAAAATGAAAAACTATTTTACTGCACATTTGTCTTTCTGCTTCTCTAATCGTTACAGGATTCTTCCTAATTTTGTGTAACTTTAGGTAGAAAAGGTCTGTGTTGTTTTTTTAAAAAAAGAAATACTGTACATTCACTGTCTATGTCTGTCAGAGAACAGTTTACTAATAACAACTGACTGATCGTAATAACACTTTGCTAATGTCACAGTGACCCCTGCATTGTTAAGGTCCATAAGATACTGGCTTTTCATCTGTTGAGTCATGTTAAACAGGAACAGATTGGTTTGTTCCTGTTTAATATGACCCAACACAAGAAGAAACAGAAACGTGGCACTTTAGAGGCCATACGATTTGCCTTTGAGTGTCCAGGTTTCTTTTAGCAGTTGGTAATAAAACTGATCCTAGGATGTATTTAATTTTCTAACCAAGCAGGTAAAAAAGAAAAGTCAGAGAAAGATTAATTTAATGGATGGTGTGACAGTAATAGTTGGTTGCCAAAATGAAAATGCCCTCTGGGTTTTTGAAGTGAATTGTCTTGAGAACCTTCAGCCTGAAACACCTTGCATAGACCGTTCTCTCTTCATTTCTGTGGAAAAAGTATACCAAGAATGGCAACAAATATGAGTAATGTTGTTTTAGAGATTGGTCTAGTACACTGGTTCTTAACCTTGGGTTACTCAGGAGTTTTGGACTGCAACTCCCAGAAGCCTTCACCACCAACTGTGCTGGCTGGGGTTTCTGGGAATTGCAGTTCAAAAACATCCGAGTAACAAAGGTTAAGAACCACTGCTCCCAGATGTTCTTGGTCTAAAACTCCCTGAAGCCTTCACCTCTAGCTCTGCTGGCCAGGATTTATTAGGGTTGTAGGTCAAGAACATCTGGGGACACAGGCCCGGGGACCTGTGCTCTATATTTAATTGTGTACAAGCTATCTTGAAAAATTTCTGGAATAAAAAGCAGGATACAGAATACTGTACATATCTTGTACATCCAAGTGTGTATATAAAGGGGCATGAGCTAGCGGGTTACTTCCTTTGACAGACATATTCCTCTTAGTGGAAACGGGAGGGGAGCAAATCTCCTGTTTCCTTCTGCCACACTTGTTATTCTGGAAGCTATTCCAAACAACAGAGAAATCTGTTTTTTTTTGTGATGTGAAGGGTTTTGGGAAGGAGGGAAAAGAGTTTTGTTGTGCTAGTGGTCAGGTGCTATAACTTTGGGCAGGGTGTATAAAAATCAATGATTATTAATAATCAAATTGATTTAAATCACAATTTAAATAGAAAAATCGATTTTTAAAATTTAATTCATCAAAAAAGCTGATTTTTTTTAAAAAAAATTACATCATGATTTGAAACAGTTTGATTTAAATCAAATCCACCCCAACTTCAGGTATAGGACATATCTGTCTATCTCTGTGTGTACGGACTTCGACCTTTCATTCCCTATGGGTGATGGGCTCGAGTATGGAGGTTACTTTGCTCAAACCCCAAACTGAATGGAAAGGGTGTGAGTGTAAGAGTTTGGGGAGAGGATTAAATCAGTTTGTGAGAACAAGAACTGCTGGATAACTCAGCAGTTTACCTATTAGTTGCAGAGCCAGATGTTGGAAATGTTTTAGTGCAGTGGTCCCCAGCCTTTTTGGGACCATGGACCGGCTGAGCCTCCGAGGAAGGCGGCCCCCTGCAGGTGCTAGTGGGTGCACGTGCGCTCTTAGGCGCATGCGCGAAGCAGTGGGGGAGTACCTGCCTGCTTGCCTCTGCTGGCGCGAGTGCTCCCCCACACCTTTGCACATGCGCAGGGGTGCCTGCACGCCTGCCCACCCACCCCTTCGTGCGGGTTCTCAGGTGCATGCGTGAAGGGGTGGGGGAGCACTCATGCCGGCACTGCCATGCGCGTACATGCACAAAGCAGGTGTGGTGAGGGGAGTGCATGCAGGGGGGGCAGGAGGTCTGTCTTCACGGCCTGGTCAGGCTCAAGCCATGGACCGGTAACGGGCCGCAGACCGGCGATTGACGACCTCTGTTTTAGTGACTGTGCTGACTCGAGTTGGGGGTGATGAAAATTCTATTCAGAGGGCACCAGGATGTGGAAGGCTGTTCTAGGGAATAAGCAGCATTGAGCTCAGCTATCAGGAACTGCTTCTGAATAAGTGTGAGTAGACTGATGTCTTTTTGTTGCTTGAGCGAGATATGTCTGAAACGTCTTATAACTCTTCTGTTTTATTTCCCTCTTTTTCTGAGGTAAGTTTGTTGTGAGCTGAATCAAATTGTTAGTCCAACTGGATGGGACTTGTTAAGTCAACCATATGTAAATCAAGATTACTCTTTTGGAATATACCTCCCAGAATCCCCCAGGCAGCTCTGTTGACTGGGGGATTCTGGGAGTTGTGGCCCAGAACAGGACATTTCTCCCAGCTCTGTGTGTAAATACAAACTTTGATTTAAGGCAGGCATAGTCAGTCTTTAGAGTTCTTAGGCATGCTCAAGGTCACCCACCTTTGGACTTTGGGGGGAGGGCACACCAACTCCCGGCCCATCTCAAAATATTTTTTATTTTTCTAAGACTTTATTTGGGGTGAATTGAAAAGACCTATCCCCACACCTCTAGCGGCTGTTTCTAACATGTATATTATTTTTTGATACATGTGTGTGAGATGTCCAGGAATTGGGGAGGGAGGCAAAACAAGGCAAATTTGCCTCTGACAGCCCCAGGGGACATTTTGAGGTTAAATTTGATTACAATACATTTATTTTTAAGTTCTTGGGGTTCACTGGGATGTGGGGCTGTAGTGTATACACCCTGTGGGATGCATTTTGCCCACACCTGATTTAATGGCTCTACTCTGGTTGGAATTGAATTTATCAATCATCATGTGAGCAACTTAGTAAATAGGTTAATGCAGAGTCTAGCTATGGACTTTGTCCGTCCTTCCCTCCATCGATCTATTTATCTAGTTTTCTGTCAGATCAAATCTATATGCCACCTTTCTTTCAAAGATGGGACTCAGAGCAAGTTACAGTAATACTTAAAAAACCAGAGACTACAATTAAAACACAAAATAAGGCCAGCAATGAAAATTAAATTAAGTTAAAAGCCCAACTAAAACAGTTAAAAACATTGCTTAAAAACATATGTGTAAAAAAGATACAGAACCAATTCAGCAATAACTGCATTTCGAACCAGGCTAATTGCCAATTGCAACTTCAGATGTCAAAAAATACTGTATTTTCAAGACAATGGACTGGGGGGAGAGAGACGCTGAACATACATTTCTAGTGGGAATGACCTCTGAGAAATACTACACACTGTTAACTAACCTTCATTTAAATGTTTATACATTTTAAATAAATTGTTATTGAGTTCATCCATTATAATTATGGTTATTGTATTTGTGTATGTTTTTGGTGAACTGGTTTGAGTGGAATGTATTGTAGAAAAACTGGTATGTAAATAAATGGACTATGGCTTTTTTAGCACATGATCTGCTGATTTTGGTGGGAAAATATAGATTTAGCTTGTTCCCCATGGAAATCAATAGGATTCAGAAGCCAAAATCCTGTTGCTTAGTGTATTAAGTCACAAGTAGAGTAGGCCAGTTGAATCAACTGATCTTTTGGCAGTGTTGACTCATCATATCCTCACTGATTCAATAGGTTGACTCTAGTTATGACGTGGTACACCAAGCAACAGGATTTCAGCCTCTGAATCCTATTGGTAGGAGACAGGGTTGATACGAGACAGAACTATTGAGAGGACATATATACTAAGCAATAGGATTTCAGCCTTTTTGTCTTATCTTTATGGTGGAATAGTGTCCTGATTCTTGGAGTGTGTTAAAACATGAGCTTCAGACTGTTTCACCTAACAGTATTTTCTCCTCTCTCCTAACTGTCTTGCAGGTCAACATAACTATTTATGTGCTGGCCGGAATGACTGCATAGTGGATAAAATTCGTCGAAAGAACTGTCCCGCTTGTCGCTTGAGGAAGTGCTGCCAAGCTGGCATGGTCCTTGGAGGTAGGCCTTTTGTAGAACTGGGGAAAATGGGGAAAAATTACAGAGATGTAAGCCCACGGGGCTTAGCAAAAGGAGGGGGAAAGTAGGGATCAAAGCCCTGCAGGATCACTTTGATCCATTCCCCCCTCCACTTGTTTTTGTTCTCTCCTCAGCTTACTTCCATGTATAAGACAGCCCTAAATTTTTAGTCTAAAGATTTTAGACAAAAGTATCATCTCATACATGGAAAATTATGGTATTTTACACAATATGTAAGAAAAGGTAATAAAATAAAAAAAATTAATATACAAAATATATCAAATGGTAAAACAAAAAGATAAAAATAATATACAAGAAAAGGTAACACAATAAAAAGTTAACATACAAAATGTATCAAATGGTAAAACAAAAAGATAAAAATACATATGCTGTAAGTTACATAAAATCATCTCAACACACAAAACTGATTTGTGCAGCCATCACTGGGACTAATAGAGATAGATAGGGGGACCCTCATATCTCTGGGGGATTGGTGATGAGCACCCTTTTCCTCACTGAGAGATGAAAATGCTGTTTTCATTTCACTGTTCACCTCCTGGGTGGGAAGATCACATCCTGAATATGTTTTCCATCCTGTGCTCACTTCATTAGAAGCTAAAGACTTTTTTTGTGGAAGGGCCTGCAGTCTATTTCATGAATCTGTTTTGAAGTTCCAAATTAATTAAAAATAAAATATATGATTAATCAATAGAGGCTGCTGGCTCTAGTAACAGTGAGCTAGTGTATGCACTCCATGTTTTAGTTCAAAGCTTATCCTGAACCTATGTTGGAGGCAGCTGTATATATCTTCTGTAACACTGAGACTAAAAATCAGAGCAGATTTGACACCTCACTGACATCAGAGCCACTACCAGCTTTCATGGTGATTACTTGTGTTTTGTTATTTTTTTTCATCCTATTCTATAAGAATTTGAATCCAGGACAGAATCTCATTATTTAGATGCTGGGAAATAGATTCTGGTAACTTACTTTATGTATTCTAGAACTTCTCTTAATTAAAACATCTGGCAAACCTGAATTTGCTTTCCATTGTAAACACAACTGTGTTCTTATTTAATACGTATAGTGTTGTGGGTCAGAATGTGGATTGTTACACATGAGTTCAGGGCTGCAATAAAATATTGCATTTTTGTTCAAGACTTCTCTTAATTACAACATCTAGCAAACCTGAATTTGCTTTCCATTGTAAACACAACTGTGTTCTTATTTAATACATATAGTGTTGTGGGTCAGAATGTGGATTGTTACACATGAGTTCAGGGCTGCAATAAAATATTGCATTTTTGTTCAAGAAGTTCTACTGTCATTCTTGGGGCTTGCTGTTTTTAGTCATTAAGTCGTGTCTGACTCTTTGTGACCCCATGGACCAGAGCACGCCAGGCCCTCCTGTCTTCTACCGCCTCCCGGAGTTTGGTCAAATTCATGTTGGTAGCTTTGATGACACTGTTCATCCATCTCATCCCCTGTTGTCCCCTTCTCCTCTTGCCTTCACACTTTCCCAACATCAGGGTCTTTTCCAGGGAGTCCTGTCTTTCACATGATGTACTGTATACTGCGTATAAGTTAAATAAAGAGAGAAACAATATACAGCCTTGTCGTACTCCTTTCCCAATTTTGAACCAATCAGCTGTTCAAAACCAAGAGTGTTTATGATGACCAGCTTGTCCTTTCACATGATGTACTGTATACTGCATATAAGTTAAATAAGGAGAAAAAACAATGTACAGCCTTGTCATACTCCTTTCCCAATTTTGAACCAATCAGTTGTTCAAAACAAAGAGTGTTTGTGATGACCAGCTTGTTCTCTTGACAAAACTCTATTAGCCTTTACACTGCTTCATTTTGAACTCCAAGGCCAAACTTACGTGTTGTTCCTTTTATCTCTTGACTCCCTACTTTAGCATTCCAGTCCTCTATAATGAGAAGACCATCTTTCTTTGGTGTCAGTTTTAGAAGGTGTTGTAAGTCTTCATAGAATTGGTCAATTTCAGCCTTTTCAGCATCTGTGGTTGGTGCATAAACTTAGATGACTCTGATGTTGAAAGGTCTGCCTTGGATTCATATTGAAATCATTCTATCATTTTTGAGATTGTATCCCAGTACAAAGGAGTATCTCCACTCCTTTGCTGACTATGAGGGCTACTCCATTTCTTCTACAGGATTCTTGCCCATGGTAGTAGATATGGTAATCGTCTGAATAGAATTTGCCCATTCCCGTCTATGTTAGTTCACTTATGCCCAGAATGTTAATGTTTATTCTTGCCATCTCCTTACCATCCAGCTTACCAAGGTTCATAGATCTTACATTCTAGGTTCCTGTGCAGTATTTTTCTGCATCAGACTTTCCTTTCACTTCCAAGCACATCCACAGCTGAGCATCCTTTCGGCTTTGGCCCAACCACTTCATTAGCTCTGGAGCTACTTGTACTCGACCTGTGCTCTTCCTCATTAGCATGTTGGATGCCTTCTGACCTGAGGGGCTCATCTCCCAGCGTCATATCTTTTAGCCTTTTTTTCTGTCCATAGAGTTTTCTTTGCAATGATACTGGAGTGGCTTGCCAGTTCCTGGTCCAGGTGGATCGCGTTTTATCAGAACTCTCCACTATGACCTGTCCATCTTGGGTGTCCCTGCATGGCATAGCCCATAGCCTCTCTGAATTACTCAAGCCCCTTCACCACGACAAGGCTGCAATCCATGAAGGAGTACCTCCTTGGGGCTTATCTCCTAGCAAATTTGTTTAGGAGTGCAGTCATAGTACTATGAAACATCTTTATGGAGCAAAATTGTCCTACCTAAATTTTCCTTGCAGCAAGAAATTAAGATAAAGTGGGCTTTTGAAGACTGGATTAAGAGGCCTTAATTATCTGTGGGCATTCATGTTATTGCTGGGGAGGACTATTATTTAGTTTTAATTGTGTGGTGCATGAAAGTGACCGAAAATAGGTCCTTCACATCCCGTGGTCGCCTCTCATTCTCTAGAGGTGAGAGGTGTTCATTTAAAATGGGCATTCAGGAAGAGTCATTTGTGAGAAGGGAAAGTATTCTGACACAAATTTAAATAGATCACTATTACTGTATTTTGATTTATATCTTCCACAGAGGCACCTTTACACATTGTCAGAATGATACTCTAATCATTTTTAGACTAAGGCTGCAATTACATTGGTGCAATTTGATTCATAGCCTGTATTTTGGCTGAATTTGCAGTCTGGTCACATAGGGGCTATGGATTGATTTTGGAGTTCAGTGTTCACACTTGATATGATGGGATTTGCATTTCAGCTCAAAGCCCCACCACCACCTTCTTTTCTTCTGTCTTGCCCTGTTTCTGCTAATCTTTTATGGTTCACTGTCAAGCCGCTTGGGTTTGGAAGGTTTGTACAATGTTCCAGAAAAGGTAGCAGAATTCCAAAGTTTAATGTGTACAGAAATAATAAACGCCACATAAATGTCTTTTATTTTGTCTCTGCTGTTTCTGTTCTGTTTGCAATTTAATTGTTTTTCCTCTCATCTGGAAGTGATCTAGTGCTAAACTAGGATAACGTGATCTGGCGCTATTCTCATATATGTAAAAAATGTAAAAACATTTTAGAGGAAGATTGAGGGGAGTGAATGTAGGGACAAGCGTATAAATGCAATAAATAAAATAAATCTTAGCTTAAAGATCTTATGTCCAGTAACTGATCCTTTGGACAAACATTTCAAGCTTAAACAATGAGAAATAAACTCAGGCAGACACTTGGAAACCACCAAAGAGTGGTGATGCGGAAAAGGAAATCTGGCCATTTGAGGAAGCTCAGAGGGCTGGATTCAACCCCTAAGGCTTAATGTTCTCCAGTCCACTCCAGATCTGGAGGGGAGGCCAGAAACTTAATCCTCCAGTTGTGCTTCCAGATACTGTAACAATCAAGACTTGTATCAGTATAGTTCTGTGAATGTCTACTCAAATGTAAGTCTTGTCACATTTAGTGGTGTTTACTTTTCTGGATTGGAGCTCCATACACCCCATCATCACACCATGGGACCTAGAAGTGCTTAACTTTAGAAAGCTGACTGCAGAAGGCAACGCCTTTGCAAAAATCCCACTGGCTTCCCTCCAATGCGTTTACTTACTCTTAAGCCAGTGATAATTACCAAAGCATCAACTGACTAATGTCTTGATGCAGCAACTTGGATTGCCTTTTTAACAGGAATTTGTAAGCTTATCCTTGTGTGACCGTACTCTTTTCTTAAAAACATGCTTTTACTTATTCGGACTTCAGATGCAGCAGCTCTAAATGATCTTATATTGCATCTAGAGAGATCTCTAAGGGCTATATTAAGTGCTCATTATTCAAGCAGATTCTTAAGTCAGGGTCAATGACTAGTGAATTTCTAGTCACTGTTCTACTGGGAACAGCATAGAAGTGCTGATTAGTTAGTTATAGAGGCCTTGCATACTTGTTAAATGTAATATTTAAGGTTTATTAATTTTACTATCTGATCTAGTACCATCAAGAAATATATAGCTCGGCTGGAACACATTTGCTCTGAGCAAATTGTTTCAGAACAAAGGCTGTGAAATCTTATTGTACTTGTTACGTGCTGTCAAACTGGAACCAAGTTATAGTCACCCTCATAAGCCTTTCCAGTTAAGCCAGATATTTAAGGAGTGGCTTTTCAAGTTCCATAGCCCCAGTTAGAAATGAAAAATGGCTAGCTATGAACCACGTCATCATCATAGGCATCCTTCAGTCTCAAGAGACTATGGTAACGTGCTCTGTATGGAGGATTTGGAACAGCGTCTAGTGTTTTGACGCTGTACGTGAAGCTGGAGTGTCCTCTCCAGGGCACAAAGCCTGGGTAAAATAATGTGGAGGATAGGCTGTTACCCAACCAGCAAATCCCCCCTCTCCATGTCACTGAAATAGTCCAATGGAAAGGCAAGAGCCAATACAGCTGGTTTCAGTGACGTTGCAGG